AACTGGATTAAAAAGAAATCTAGGATTATTCTTATTCTCCTCTATTAATGAGGAGAAATATTCTGCACTTGCTTTACAAAGGGTCCTCTTATACAGCAGTAAACCATTTTTCCAGACTAGGTCCAAGCATCAGATGATCACATTGAAAGTGTTGATTTGGTAAGTTGTCTCCTCCAGATGGACCATCCTCTCTTATTTCTGCTCCTAAACATTCAGCCTGTGAGTCGACGCATGTTCAGCTTCTAAACATGAAGGGGGGACATTTTATAAGCAAAGGGGACCTGCAGGTCACCATGGAGGAACATTTCACCCTGTAAACATGGAGAACTAGTGTTAAGTGTTCTACTGCTGCTCATGACATCATATCTTAATAGTTTGTGGAAATAATGAGAAAATGGTTAGAATGATCTTAAAGGCCAACCTGACATCAGTCTGCCCCTGGTCTGCTTTGATCTATTCTATCAATGATTTTAAAGGATTTACTTCTAGTAGTATTTTGGGTTGTAGGTGTGTGGCACAGGGTGTCAGCACCCTTTCTTCTCTTTCTGTGTAGAACAGTGAGCTCTAGGAATGATTCCACACTGATAAGGCAACTTTTCAATGAAAAGGGAAACCTCTCCTTTTAAGATTCATATAAGCCTAAAATAGATTTCTATTGTTTTTGATGGTGTTCCAGCAGCTGTTATAATGTTATTTAAAGGCCGAGACCTCGACCTGATCCAACTGATACTCATGCAGGTCGGCTGTGTTTTCAACCCAAATCTCCTAAAAATGACAACATATTCGCACTTTATTCCAAGATAACTGGATCTCAGTTCCTCATGTTGTTTCAGTCTGGCCTGGTCTCAGAGGTCTGCTGAAACAAAACCTGGTCTCTACCCAATAAATATTTTCTAGTAAACAAGATTAAACAGGTTTCCTTAAAGATCATTCACTGCTGTTACCCAGTAAAGTACTTTTTGTATAAATAAAAAAAGGACATTGAGACCATTTGTACTTTCTGCAACATTTGCTCTGAGTCTCTCTCATCTATGGCAAGCTGTTTGTCACTTCATTCTGCACAATATTTACAACAAATTTGAACTTTATTTTAAAGATGTTTTATTTGGAATTATAGAATATAGAAAATAACTTTCTGACCATTTCTTTTTATGTAATCTTTTGCTGTTGGCCAAGTTTTACATCCATAAATGTAAATGTATTATGATTAAACCCTCATGTAT